TTTGAAAATTTCACGAACACACGGACTTTTATATTAATCGTCTATAATTCAAATAGAAACTTTTGAACTTTGCATTCCTTTTTAGCGTTTTATTAATTTTGTTCAAGAAATATGTTTTGCGTAGACTTCTTTATTTGTCATTTATGTTTTATAAAAAATTAATTTTCTTATTAGTAATCAAAGCATCAATAATAAAAATAAAGCTTATGAACAAACAAAGACGTACCTCGCCGTCCTTAGTACGTCAATGAACTATACAATTAAATAAGCCCGAAGGTATAAATTAATTTGTAACATAAAACAATAATAGAAATAATAGAAAATAATAGAAATCATTGAACCTTTAAAATATAAATATTGCGTATTATTCCACTATATTTTAATCTCTATCAAGTCAGTTATGCATACACATTCTTTTGAGCATTTTAATAATTATTTGATAATCAATATATGTAAAGTAATTTCTCAATTCTTATAAATGGACGACTGTAATTTTTTCAAAATAATCAAGTGATTATTAATATTACATTTTCATATCTTATTTGAATTTATAACTGAATAAATTATGTACATTTATCATTTATTTTAGTTTATGATAATTATTATTAATTAACTATTTTTATTATGTTACTATATTGATATCATCGTTTTATTTGTAACCATTGCTACAAATTTTGCTTTCAAAATTAAAATTTTTTTGTTAGATATCTGCAAAAAATATATTTATTAAGTCGATAATCATATATACGATTTCAATGTCTGTCTATTTCAATTCTACATTCAAATTCTTATTAAAAGATTTTTTTTTTTTTTAAAGAGGAATGCATTTGATCGTACACAATACATTTTTTGTAACAAAATGTTTATTGTGCAAACTACAATATATATTTATGTATTGATTTAGATTATTCAAACACCTTTTTCAGTAGTCATTAAATCCAATGGATTGTTTCAAGGTGTGAATCATTTAAAAGATATACAAGTGTGAAGAAAAACACATCGGAAAGAATGAGTAATATTTTATTACCCTCTTACAAAAGAGATTAATCCAACACTATTTGGGGTATGTATACTTATGAAAAAATAAACGTTACAGACATAATAGATCCTAATTCTAAAAATACTGTTAATATAGAAGCGTATAAAATACAAGCTAAATTTTCGGGAGGAGGGTTTTTTAATTAGTCCCCGATTGTTGCCGCTTTCGCAAAAATTTACGCTCTGTAGCACCGAATTGCATAGTCCCGGTTTTATACGTCAATTGGCGTCTGTGCATTCGTGATGACGGAAGAGCAAGGGGAAATCTAGAGAGAAGTAGATAGACAGAAAGAAAAGTCGGTGGAGAAGGAATCGTGGAGAATGCACAGACAATGGGAAAAGGCGAGCCTATGTCTGTTTCTTTCTCTCTCACTCTATTTTATTCGCTCACTTGCTCTTTGAACGATTACAACGCCTCATCAGCATCGACACAATGCCGGTAACGAAAATTTCCGCTGAAACGTTACCACTAAGACCGAACGTTTTATTGGAGTTACAGTATTCGCGCAAATAGAAAAAGAAATTCGATATTAATCGTGTGCCGGCACTCTTCTTGGAAGCGAATAAAAATGTACAGTATGGCCTACATGGCACTAACTTGCTTATTAACGATTTCATAATGTAGTGCTACTTCTGCATTGGTAAAGAATCCAGATTTCTAGCTTATAGATTTCATTTTATAGACATATTTTACTTTAAATTTGTCCAATAAATTATTATTAATTATTAATACGTTATTTATGAGTTCTTCATTTTTTTCTTGTATCTAATTAAAATAATTGAAAATTACTATTCGACTACATGCAGATTCGTGCTTTAATCTAAAAATATGTTTGAATATATTCTGAACAATTACGTACCAATGTTCATTGTTTTTGTCAAAAATTAATCATTTTAAAGAAATTATCTAATAAGGATCTTTGTTTTTAATAATGTATAATATAAATTAATTCAAATAGCTAATTATTTACAATAACATATCTAGACGATAAAATTCTTGATTTGTTGAACTTTTCATTCATGCATTTTTCTAACTAAAAATTACATTAGAATTAATGGAAAAATATTTCCAAGTCGCTAAAGTTTATTGATGCTATTTGAAACTGTTACATTCTTTCGGTAATGATGAATCTATATTCGAACAACATCGTTGTACTTTTATATTGACTCCTGATCATAAATAGATTAAGATCGAAATAGCAATAAATTATTTTTAAAAATCAAATCACATTGGAAATTTAAATTTATAAAAAAGGCATACTTATATTTAATTGCATATTAAATTACATATGAGTATTTACAACCAATTAGTATTGCAATATATTTAATTTTTATTTTGAACATTAGAAAGTTAAGTAATAATTCAATACTAGGAAGATATTCTAAAATTTTCGTTTAAAAAAGTATGACTAAATAAAGCATTAAAAATATTTTTATAATTTAATGGTATAAGTATATATAATATATAGGCCAAGTTACCAATTGATTAAGCAACATATATTTGTAAAATACTACACAATTAAACGACAACACGAACAAAAATAATAAAGTCGAGCCAAAAAAAAAAAAAGAAAAACAGCATAGATTAAACGTGGAACAGAAAGTATTGCTTCATGTACAAGTGGTTCCAGAAAAGAGCAAGAAACGATTATCACCTGTTTCAATAGAACGTTCATTCTTTTCGTTTTTAACACACATATACAAACTGTAGGTTAGGCACGACACAAACGAAAGCTTCTTTCTTTACTACTGGCTCTTGATAATTAACTATCATCTGTCTAATTATCTATCTCCCTACTCACTTAGTCGCCCACCCACCTACCCAACTACCTGCTTATATACAAGCTGTTAAATACAATTACCTTCATCTACTGAGAATATAAAAATTGCAATTTCACAAGATTTAACGTATCTGATCTATTTTTGTTCATATTATTGACAATTATTTTTTTAATTTAAATGAATTTTAATTAAGCACACCTTTAAAATAAAAATGAAAAAACTTTACCTAATATTCAATGTTTCATGACGGCAATTTTATAAACTAGAATTTTTTATTTATTTACATGTATACTTATACACTATGTTCAATGTTCAATTTTTATAAAAAAAAGAGTCAAATTTAAATATGTGCTAAGTGATTTAATATAATTTTTACTCGATTTTTAGATAAAAAGTAGGTTTAAAAATTAAACAAAAATAATCAAGTACTGTCAAAATTTATGAATTTAGAAGATACTATCTTTTTTATAACACTGGAATTGATTTTTATTTATTTAATAATATCAATAACTTATATTTAAAAGAGCTTATATAAAAAATTATATAGTGAACAAATATAATTACAATATTAATTATAATTTATTGCAGCCACTTTAGAAACTAACCAATTCATAAAATCATAATTACTTACCGAAACTGAGTGTTTAACAACTAAAAACCGACGTTTAAGTGTCATTTTACAATTTCCTTAATAATACTGTAACATATTTATAAGGTTATTCAAAATTAAGTTGAAATGAATCGTCGAACATGAATATATAACTATATTAATTTGTTTATTATTTAATTAAAATTATAATAGTTTGCCATCATAAATCATGAATACTATTAATTCATTTTTCTAGTATATTATTTAATCTTTTTTTAGTACGTAATATTAAGCAAAATTGTTAGTAATTCTTAGGTTATTTAAAATTTTATTACGTCATAATTTATTTTCTAAAATCGAATTTATTTATTATTGTAAAATTCCAAATAAATAAAAAGATAATGAAAAAAATTTTTTCAAATAAATTTAAAAGTATCAATTATCAAATATTGTTATACGTTAATAATATAAATAGACAATAAATTAATATTTAATTTTGGTGTATTTAACATTAATGTTCTTATTATAAAAATATGTGGGTGTATAAAATATATACTAGTTATTCATTATAAAAATGGTTAATTTTAGATAGCAGGTTAATGTAGAAATTTTACAGGCATATCTAATGAATAAGCAAATGCACTTAAATTAAAAAAAAAGAGTATGGCCAAGCTTTTGCTTGTAATGCGAGGAACGTTTGATGCCTACATTCTTCTTTCGATTATCATTGTATACAACAAATTTTTAGCGAATGAGTATACCATACGATGTTTATTGAATAGGATTCGTTTCATTTATACCTAAAGGGAGTATGTTCTGGACTTCGACATTTTAAAATGTGTATAAATGCAAAATTATATGCAACATTTAAGTTAGTTAATTATGATTATATGTAAGAATAATATAATGTAGTTCTTGCTTATTTATAAATTATTAGCGAACAGGGGATTCGATTAGGCTTGTAGGTAGTTGAACGAATAAGAGTAAATTTCAAATTTTCAATGGCTAGTTGATACAGATATACAAAACGAAAAGAGCAATATTAGTTGACGAACGTAACGGCACAATTTTAAATAAGAAGCCTTGATAAAACCACGTCGAGGACACGCGAGAGTTATCTGTGTTAATTATGTTGAAGGGTAGTGGTGGCGATGTCGGCGGCGGTGGCGGCGGCGGCGGCGGCGGCAGCAGTAGTGGTGATTCTTGATGTGACAGTTTGGTGACGGTTTTCTTGACCGTGACGGTAAAGGAAAGGCTAGAGGGGCAGGGATAATGGCGATAGTGGCGGTGGAGACGGCGACGGTGACGACAGCCAAGAGAGGTGGAGGTAAGCGGGTGGGAGGAGAAAAGGCAATATGGCTGGTGTGTGTTGTGCAGCGGCACAGTCACGGCTCCAAGAACGGTGCACGGTTTTAGATAATAGCATTGTATTTTCAACGACCGTGAGGTGTATTACTTTGACATTAATATTTATGTCCGTGTGTATACATAAACTGATGACGAATTTCGTGCGCCTAAGTTACAATAACAAGAGGAACGTCCGCAGATGGGAGAGTGCGAGCGTTAAGGTTATAGACGCATAAATACTCACCCTTTGGCCTCGATGGACGCCATCACCGACTCAATTGTTGGTTTCTTCTTTGGCTTTTGTGGAGGCTTCTTTATCTTCGAGCCACGTGACGGAATTATCAGCATCTAAAAATAAAACACACTGGGCATTGTGCATATACGTGGTTGATGAACGCACTAGGAATAAGACTAGATGGATAAAGAAAGAGGTTATGTTGCAAGGCGATGAGCGCCAGTGCAAAGTAAAAGCAAATTAAAATTACAGAGCTGGTAAATGTCAATAAGAGTAAAGAAGACTAACCGTAGTCGATGAGAGCATTGGTTGCCACCTTGTAAGTACACCGCCAAGGCAAGCATGTCTCGTGAACGCCGCCATGTTAACTCTACCGCTGACTCGAATGAATAGTTCGCCGAACTATAGTAGGCTCGTAGCTGTAATAGGCGACGTTGCCGATATCCAGGTCTTTTTAAATCTCCGAATGTTGCGTGCGTGTGCACAATTCTGCCAGTTCAATTATTTCGTTTTTATTACTCTTTGATGATTTATCTGCTATTTGAACACCAACCGAGATAGGCGGGAGATTTGAATTCTTTTGCTTTCTTTGAAAGGAGTTTCTCTAAAAGACTTACTTTATACTATCTTTCCATTTACGCAATGAAAAAACTGAAAATGATAAACGAAAATGCATGATGTTCAATGACTTCTTAAAGTACTCCCTTCCTTGATAAAAAAATTTATTGTAAATTAATAAGCATTAAAATTTAACTTTAAGTTGATTCTAATGGATAGATTGTTATTGAAGTGACTTATGTCGTGATATGAAAGCAATCGATGGAATGTACAACTACAGCACATAGATAACTGCAAGACAGTGATTCATCGTTTCAAAGTATAATAGAATGGAAAGTTTGAAGAGCAGTTCCTCTGTGCTTTTAGTCTGCATTATTACATTGAAAGTATTCTTGGAAAAACAAATGGTTAAATCATTGAACATTAGAAAGAATGTTGAGTGCCGTAAAAAAAATTAAAGTATTAGTAGTAAATCACATAATAAAGTAAAACGAGGGAAATACATTTAAGTGATAATCAATATTGTTGTTTCTTAAGTAAAGTGACTTTGTACAAAAGTAAAAATCAATGTGAACAGTTAAAATGTTAATTTCTATCGCATTTAACTGTAAATGAAATTTTGGCTGTCCAATAAAGAGTGATTGCAAAATAACATTAATTGTCCAATATTGTACTATAAAGGATATTAATTTTTCAAAGAAATTTAAAATTAATAATTTATCAAATGTTGTGAGTATAACAAATGCCAATACTAAACAGTATTCTCAATAAATACATATGAAAAGAGTGTAGTGCAGAATAGTAAGACAAAATAATCTAATAGCGCTATACAATCGTTTATATATAAGCGACAATATCTGTAATAAAATATTTGTAAAACGTTTCAGGAGAAAAAGAATAGAAGGAAGAGAAGATATAGGTGAAATATGAAACAGAAGTAATAATTGCATGTTGAATAGTGCTTTAAAAAGATGAGTGTTGGTTATTATTGGTCGTTTATATCGTAAATTGATCATAAATACAAAAATAATAGCAACGAAAAAACAATCGCAATAACAACACAACAACGTCTGGAAAGTGCAAAAAATAATTGTATCAGTTTTGCTTGAAACCCGCAGATGTCGTACCGTCTGAATGAAAAATCTGGCAACATCGGGCAACGTTTTCGAAAACAAGGACAGTCTATTGGTGCAGTGGCCCACCGACGGCAGCCGTGACTGTGTGTGGTTATAGTAGGTCCGTGAGTGAGAAAGACAGGCTAAGAGAGAGAATCGTCGTAGCTGGCTGCTGTCTCGGCGCTTTGGCGGCGCGTCCGCCATTTTGCAGTCGCCATTGGGTATCGGAAAGCGTAGAACGAGCGAGAGAGAGAGACTGTGAAGAGCCTCTCGTACGGTTCACGTAGAGGAGTTGCAAGTTGAGAGAGAGAAGAGAGATCTTAGGAGAGAGTACGAGAGGAGAAAAATGCGCCACGGGGCAGTGGTGCGACCGGGCGGTGCGTCGCCAGGATAACGCGCCACGGTCCCGCCCCTACCGGGAAGACTCCCCGACGTTAGTGCCAGCAACGCTGCTTGGCTGTTTAGCCAGGTTCCGTGGGTCGCGTAACATAACCTTAATTTCACGGCGCGCGCGTCGGCTCCTCGACAGTGGTGACAACGACGGTGCTGAAGACGACGACAACGACGACGACGTCAAGATCGACGACTACGACATCGACGACGACGAAGACGACGACGACGACGACGACGACGACGACGACAAGGACGACGGCAACGACATTGACGGAAACTACGAGGACAAGGAGGAAGTGGAGAAGAGCCGAGGAGGCGAGCGCACGCCTCGATATGTAGCGTAGCGTGCGCCCTGCCGCACTCGAGCCACGGCCACGGTGTCCTTGTTCGCCGTACTCTTACGCCCCGTTGGGACAAGAGTGTAGTGGGCGCCCGTAGACGAGGTGTATGGTTGGTTGGTTGGTTGGTTGGTTAGTTGGTTAGTTATCAAAAAGTGATGTGATCAAGAAGAAGGTGTGTTTGTACTTGTTAACGTTCTTGTCCTTTTCCTGTTTCTTCATCTCCTTTTCTTTCGCGAGGAGAGCCGAAGAGAGCCAGTACCGCGAGAGGATGGAGGAGAAACCATGACGCACCCCTCGCATCAGACTAACGGCGCTAGCTTGGAGGACTGCCACACCAACTTCTTCGCCCTGGTGAGTCCTAGTGGCTAATCGTGCCTCCCCGAGTGGAAAGAGCGAATTTCCCCGATGAGGCCGCCATGTTAATTTTTTTCCTTTTCTTTCTTTTTTTTTCTTTCACTTGCTTCCCTACAATTTTCCTCTTCTCGCTTCCGTTCACCGCTGGCGTGCATCTATTTGAAAGTTAATTGCGCACGGTAGGATCCCATCCCGGCAACGCCTGTTAGCGCGCGCGCGCACTACGTGAGGGTCCCGAGGAGCAGCCATGGGGGCTGCCCTGAGCAAAAGGCTATACATTTTTATAATTAGGGAATAAATAAAATTGCAAACGGCCATGTTTCTGCCAATTGAGAGGGACTTTTATTTACGGTGTATTGTTGATGGTGTATGACCGTGTACGCTTTACATTAGCGACGTTCATTTATGTACGTACGTGTATGCTCAGTGCCGTAAGCGTCGCGTGCACCGTGATGTTCCAATGCCGCTGCAACGACAATCCTCGGCCGAGTTTCTCGGGGACGGGACCGTCCTCTCCTCCTCCTTGGAGAGACGGAGAGGTACGGGCATAGATGGATGCGTGACGCGCGCGTGTTTCGTGCATGTGCAAGCGCGCGAAAGAGAAGAGCAAAGTCGGAGGCTCGCCATAGCCGCCATTCGCGCGTTCCGTAAAGTGTGTGCGCGCGCTCTCGGAGAACTTGGGAATGCTGAGTATGCGGGGGACCGGATAATCGGGCGCCTACGCGACGGATCCTTCGGTGTCGTCACCTTCGATTCGCCCATAATTACGAAATGGTACGAGATAAGAGACGTCGGCCGCAACGACAACGTATCGGCATCGGCATCAGCATCGGCAGGCGCGTGTACTCACACGTTTAACCTTGTCGCCGGCCGCGAAATTTTAAACGAGCGAAGTTTATTAATAAAGTTCGGGAGTGAATCAGCTTTAAATCGGCAGTGTCAGCGTAAACGGGTCTTGTCTTTTTGTCTCTCACTCTCGTCCGTGGGCGCTTATTACCAAGTATGTTTAGTGCTCAACGAGAGACGAACACGTTTAAGTGTGGGCCTGTATATACAATCGCTCGCTTATGTGTACGTACCTGGTGCGACGAATTCGCGGAAAGATACGCTATATAATAAGGCTAGCGACTAAGTAAAGGAGCTCGGGGAATGTGAGAAGAGAGCGAGTGAGTATGCTAGCAGGAGAGTAGCGCATGAGGAAGAAAGAGGGAGCGAGAGAAAGAAAAAGCGCGAGGGAGTTAGAGAGAGAGAGAGAGAACGAGCGAGCGAGAGGGGGAGCGAAAGAAAGCAAGTTTCACGCATCCTGTGGAGAGGATAGCGTAGCGTATATAGTACGAGAGTAAGAGAGATGACGGTAGGCGCTCCGGCAAACGCAGCCCGCTGCTGTCTTTCATTCCTTCGCTCTTCATTCTCCTTCTTTCTCTCTCACCCTCTTCATTCTGCCTCTACGATACACTGCCACTTAGAGTGCTTCTACATATAACCGCTTTGTGTTGTACCCTTGCACCTTGTTGATTCCATTGGAGCCGAATTTTCGATTGATCATAAATAATCAAGTTTTTTACTTTCGATATTGCTTCCAAAAATTATTTACCCTCCATTATATAGTAACTTTATTGACCACGCATGCTATATCAATGATATTCTTCTATGCAATACACAATAATATACGAACTATTACAATGCTATGCTCATTAAACTAAATTTAATTAAATTGGATTGGAAAAATATTCCAATACCTTTTATTTTATGAGTGATGAAACGATGTCTTTCTTATATTGTGTCAAATTATGAATGTAATTTATATTTTGTTTCTAAATTATGATAAAATTAAGGTAGTAATAAAAAATATTAAATATAAAAATTAAATTAATATGTTTATTTTATTAAAAAATTAATGTACCGTTTGTACATCATTTATTTTATTAATTTATAAAAGCCTAAATAAGATAAAAGACGATATTGATAATTTGAACTATTGTCGAATTATGTTTTGTACTTAAAGATTACGATAAAAGAATACAATGCAATATTTTAAATATGTATATGAATATGGTAATTAGAAATTTTTAAATTCAAATCTTACGAATATCATGTTCAATACCTGTCCTATTCTGTCTAAATTTCAGCGCATTATAACAAAATCGATTTTTAGATGATTAAAACAAAAGTGTAAACGAG